TGAAACTGGTTTCCTTACTCTTAACTTAGATGAGCATGTTTCTAGTAGGCCGCCGGCCCCGCGGCGTGAGCCTGGACGACACACACACACAAATAGCTTTAGCCACATGACATTGCTTTCCTTACTCCTAACTTAGATGAGTATGTTTCTGTTCCCATTGAATAATTCTGCCATTGGATGGCTACAACCGTTTGCGTAATAATAGGTTTAGATTTAGATTTGTACGCGTAAGCTTCCGCGGCGCGAATCCATAAATTCTCGTCTATCCGGGAGACGCCGCGTCGTTGGCTGTGGTGCCGACGTTTTGCCTGACTTGTCGTAGGCTTCCTCAGGGCAGTGACCAAGTCACCAAGTCTGCGACATGTCAGGCGAAACGTTGGCCTCCCAGCCAACGACGCGGCGTCTCTCGGATAGCCGAGAATTTATAGAAATAGATTTATTAAAAAAAAAACTGTATGTGACGCATGGGGAAGAAGATTATCTGCGCATGTTCTCTTGAGTTCCAGAATCCCTTCCCATCATTTTAACTATAAATTGTTAAAAGTTGAGTAAAAGTTAGATAGATAAATAAAAATACAATTTAAGAAAGCGTAAGTTTAGCTACATTTGAAAAAAATAGACATTTTCGTTTCCGAGTCATATGAAGTTGCAAGTATGATTTTCGTCCATTGCTAACCAAACAGTAACTTGCCCTTACGTCTACTGTTATCGGTACAAGCAAAAGGAGAGTTCAACAAAACGTTGATGAAATGAAGCTACATTTATGTTCAGAAGCAATGATAGTTATTACGATATAGATCGCATTATGATACAGGTTGTACTATTATCACGCGCTATCTGCAGAGAGACGAACATTTTATTACACTCTAGTAGAACTAATTATGATTTTATGATTGACTGTCATCAAAGTGAGTATGATAAGTATAAGTTTGTAATGTAATAAATAGATCTCTGCCATCATTGCAAGTAGATTAGTGCGAAATAGAAAATTCGATGTATTTTGGTCATGAGTATTCTGAAATTACCTGAAATTATATTTTTTTCTGAAAACCGGCTCGTACAGTAAAATTTAGAAATGCGTTTAGAAATATTTGGATTAAAAGCTATTGTCACGAAATAGACCTGGAAATAACTCATACAAATAGTTTTAGACATTATCCACAAATATGGTTTATGTTCATGCAGAATGAATCTCCGGCATGTTTCAATATAATTATTATTATTCGAGCCTCAGAATCAGTAAATTCAATTCAATTGAGTTATTCCTTATTTTAAGTAGCCAAGCTCAGGTCATGAGGCTCGTCCACCTAAATTCAGCTAAGGTCCTTTCACCACCTAGCAATGAGAGGAGGTATCAATCGGGCTACGAAACAGGCTATTTGAATTTTACTCAGAAGCTTCAATTAGGCATGAGGATATTTTATATGTAGTAAATCTACAACATAGGACAGCCGGCTTTACTTCCCATCTGAAAGAAGGGGTACGAAGGTTTTTTCTGCCTTAAAAATATGAGACTTCGATCGGGTTTGAACCTGCAAGTTTGGTATTAATGTATCTCGAAGAAGATGTGTAAGGAAGCAGAGAAGATGCGCACCTGCGAGTAGTAGGTGGGCTCTGGCACCATGTGTGCGCCGCCCCCAGAGGCTTCGGCGCCGCCGCCGCCTCCCAGGAAGCGGCGAAGGCTCATCAGCCCCAGGATGAGCAGCGACATCTTGCTCGACATGAGCGACATGGTGCCCAGCAGCGTTAGCTTGCCCAGCACGATCGGGATCAAGCTGGCCAACTTCAGCACCACGCCGATCAGCAGCGGGAACAGCATCTTACGCGTCATCACGAGGCCGGTTCCTGCTGACCGCAACGCACGTCTTAAAATCTGCTTGTTTCTTCAATAGATTGACACGAATGAAATGGTGTTTCAAGAGGTCCATTTGTATGCCAAGGTGCAAAAACACACTGGACTGTAACGTTACGGACACACGGACTGTATAACGGTAAAGAAGGAGTTATAGATACATGATCCCTGATACTTGATCGCACTTACGGTGATAATACGAGTATGTAGTTATTAGCTATTTAGGTGTTATGAGAAAGACATTAAATCGTTTCAAATTCCAGTTATTATAATAATAAAAAGGTTCCTGTTTCGAATTTTATAACAAAATATTTCGGTTTTAATTATAAAACATCTCTAAGCTGTATTCCTATATTTTATACATTTTGAAATTAATGGTATTACATGTATGATATAAACTCATGAGTTGCGGCATTGCTTTAATTATATTCGTGGAATAAAATAGTGTATTAAAAAGTAAAATGGAAAAATCTTGGATATTTTAATGCAAATGTTTTAATGAATAAAGAACACCTTGAAAACAAAAAAATGTAATTCGATTGAGTAAATGAATCTACATGTTGTAAAACGATAATTGTCTTTTGAATATTTTTCGTATTTGAAATGTTTAAAAATTACCAGATCTCCAAAATAGGACAGAGGAACAATTACTTTGGTATAGGTGTTGTGGTAAGATATCTTTGGCATTTTTAAAATAATTAAAGATGTTGTCATTGCCAACAATGTTTTGTAATTCAATAGCAGCTTTCGATGGCTTAGCCATCATCATCAGTAGTCTGCAAGATGGAAGCCACAAAACGACTAGTAGTCGACAGGTAGTCGACAGACAAAACGACAGGTAGTCGTTTTGTGGCTTCCATCTAGCAGACAACTGATGATGATGGCTAAGCCATCGAAAGCTGCTATTGAATTAAAAAAACATTGTTGGCAATGACAACATCTTTAATTAATTACTTTGGTGGTCAATAATTTCAGCTACACTCTTTTACGCCTGTGGAATTATTTTTCCTCGATTGTGTTCACAAAAGGCAAGGAAGCCTCAATGTGTGCGTACCATACGTTGATAATTCCGCTTTGCCCGTTAACCCCGAGAAGATACACTCAAAATATATTGAGGAGGGGCATCGCTTCGAAACTCCATTGTGTTCCACTGGCTCGAATCTTCCCTTGTTCCGAATAAAAGGAGTGCATCGTTCTGAGAAGCTGATCATATCTACAGATATGTAAGAGGAGAGCAGCCTCTTACAACTTCCTTTTCTATCGCTTCAACAGTCTTGAGTTACACATTTAACTGTGCCGAGAGTTCCACATTTACACTTTAGGTTGCGCCTACACTTTTTTTATCTATGTATGATAAAAATTGTTTGACAGTGTGACTTATCAGGGTTGACTAAAATTGGAACCCAAACCAATCAGTGTTGAGTTTAGATATAATACAATACAATCGTAGCATTGTCCATTGAGACGAAACTTTCCAACTCGGATCGAAATTTGCGTCATCTGTATAGATTACCCATATATTTTTATTCCCTGTCAGATTTGCATTAAATAAACTGGACCATAAACTGAGAACTATAACTTAATGTCAGTTACGTAGATTTATCTTTATAAATCTATCCTCCATTTAACCTTAATAAACTTTTGTACACCTATTTAAAAATTACTACCTACATGAGGTACTGTATAATTATCAACTGAGTGCATTTTAATTCATCCCAATAGCGCCATTAGGCTTTGAGTAATCGAAGATCCAAATCCTTATTCCGAGTTTGCCGGAGTAGGCAAGGCAGGGCGGGCAGATTAGGTAGGGCGAGGCTTGGCCATGCGGGATGAGGAGGGGGTGGTTTGGAGCTGGGTGGATGGGACGGGTCAGGATGAGCGGGATTGAGAAATAACGAAGGAGACTGGCTCCGGCGTGTGAGGGTGAACATGGCAGTACAGCGTGAAAACACTCTACATAGAATTAATTCATTTTCCTGTCTAATAGAGTATTGTGATTAATAAATACGCTGGCAATCCGGGGTACTTCAGAGAGTATTAAATGAAACCCTCAAGTGCAAGTAAGGAATGTGAATAAATATCAATATTGAAAGTTCATTATTGGCAAACATTCAAAACAATTTACTGGAAGGCAGTGTCAATTACACACACGGAATCACATTTGAAGGTAATGATGGAACAAACTAACACTATGAGTTGACTACAGGCTTGTTCCATATTTCCAAATTTAAAAAAACTGATATTTTCATAAAATTGCAATGCTGTAGAACACAAACGTTTCGTGTATTTCTACTATACAGTCGACCCTGGATGTAGCTGCAGCTGCAGCAAAAACGCATGTGGCGCACGTTTGTAAAATAGGGTCCTGGAGCAGTGAACGTGGCTGTTCTGAAATCACATACGTGAATACTTTCTTTCCCCTTCTCACATGATATTAGCTGTGACGTAAGTAATGACGCAATGATAATGAAAAAATGAGTCTGAGTATCAGGTACGAGGAATTGTGGCATAACGTAATGAAAATATGCATGTTTCAGTCAAAATCGAAACTTTAATATTTTTTCTATTTCCTAGACACTTTCTTGGCATCAAAAACTATTGTCACCACTCGCATGACCAGAGGCGGATTAGCCTTCTGTCAATTTAAGCGTGTATCGAAATTAGTAATAAAGATGAATGGCGAGTGTACTCTTTTGCTTGCTGCCGCATAATGTCATTTACATCGTAGGTAGTGACACATTGAGTTAAGAGTTCTGTACACATTATGATAAAAGGCAGACTAAGAGAATTAAACATTTCTATGTTTTTTCAAAATTGAAACTAATTGTTTTTTTTTTTAAATATTTTCTCTGGGTTTCTGGGTACCTAATGAAAGTAGACACATGACTTTTCGACATTTATGCGTATATTCAAAGTTAGTTACATAGAACTATTCGATTAAGGCTAAATGAATGTTTAAAACGCTAATTTTGTGTTTTTGTATATTTTACTAAAAGAAGGGGAAACTAGTTTATTTCCACATCAGATGTAGTGAACCTCGGATGTAGTTAACAAAAAATGTTAAGTTTCCAGAAGTTAACTGTAACTGTAGACGATAGTGTTTGTATACAAATATTTTATACAACTATCTTCTGCTAACATCTATTGAAACTAAAATATGCTGCATCTGATGCTTCTAGTAGTGAAACATAATGAGGTAACCTGAAATAAGAAACCGCGTTACTTGTTTCGCGAGGCGATGGGGAATCGACCACGTTCAATCTTTATTCTCTGCCACATGCCAGATGACGGGAGAGGCGTTGGGGCTATGCAATGGTGAATGACGATGCCTCGCCAATGGCGGCCTACATTACGATTTATTTAGTCGTGCACTTGACGTAAAATCACAGCTTCATCCAATCAGGAACTAGAAAGTCTCCGTAGTGACGCCACTGTAGCGACGTGTAAACTTACGATTAGATGAAACCGCAACAGCTGATTTACGTCAAGTGCGCGACTAAATAAATCGTACTACGCACGTGGGTGTCTTTGGCGCTGGAAGAGATGTTTATGAACGGGACACCGCTGTCAATCAAACTTTTAACGTACTCTCGGCGGGCGGATTTTTTGTACGTGCCCATCTATATATGAAGAGCGCGACCGAAGTGAAGAATATACACTGATATTAGAAAAACAGTAAAACCCCAAATCAATATTCAGACTTCATCTATCCTCTCTCAGGGTTTGCTTCATCAAAAACAGTGCAGAATGCAGAATTTAGTTGAATGAAACATGTGTTGCTTTTAGTGGGAGAACAAGTGTTTTCGTCTCTTTTTCTCTACCGAGTCCGATACGTTCGTTTTTGTTTATAAAACTTGTCATTACTTATTGAAATTTTTTTAAACAATATATACTACGTTTAATTCATTTAGTTACATTATTTTAAAAATAATATATATTATTTTTGTTCATTATTGGACCGTTTCTTGCCAGAATTAGATGAAACAACGGGACTCGTGCACCGTTCATCCTAGGTGGTTAAATGCATGCAGCAGAATGGCCCTTCTGACACTAGGCTTAGTGAAGCTTCATACGAACTCACTCCTGCGGTCGGTGCCGACGTCGTCCTCGTCCACTTCGTCGTCCTCGGCGGGGGCGGCGGTGGGGGCGGCCTCCCTGGACTCGGCGTCGCCGCCTCCGCCGTCTCCGCCGTCGTCGTGCGCGGGGGCGTGCGGCGCGGGGCGTCGGGCGTCGTGGGCGAGGGTGTCGCGCGCCTGGCGCAGCGACGTGGACAGCAGCGCGGCGGCGCTGCCCACCAGCACGCGGTCGGCGGTGGCCTCGCGCACGCGCGCACGCCGCGCGCTCACCTGCGCCAGCGCCTCGGGCGCCTCCGCGAAGCGCGCCGTCGCGTAGAACGCCTGCGCACCGCGCACCGCGCACCACGCGGTCAGGGGGGGCAGAGGAATTGAAAGGGCGCTTTCAACGAAACCAAACACACATACACATACACACACATACACATACCATACACGTACACATACCATACACGTACACATACCATACACGTACACATACCATTACACGTACACATACCATACTACACAGTACACCGTCAATACCATACACGTACAATACCATACACTTACACATTACCATACACTTACACATACCATACACTTACACATACCATACACATTACACACATAACCACACATACACTTACACAATACCATACACTTACCACATTACCATACACTTACCACATACATACACTTACACATACCATACACTTACACATACCATACACTCAACATACCATACATACACATACCATACACTTACACATACCGGTTGGGGTGTGTACTAGTACCCGTAGCGATCTCGGCCGAAGGATCGCGGGTTCGAGTCCCGCCTCACAGTTACGTTCGTGTCACCCTCACAGTTACCATACCGTTACAAGCAATAGTGGTCGATAATGACCTAGTAGTTGATGGGATCTTAAATAACAAAATAAACATACCCACACACACACTTGCACGCACATCTATCGCAGTCGGGTAGTTCGAGCTTGTTCGAGCTGGGATGTATCCCGCTGGCAAAATATTCTGGAATGGGGCGCCATGCAATCCAACGTGGAGTTTGGCGCCGGATCTCACGTTCAGCGTCGGAAAATCACCGCCTCGTCCAGAGAACAACGCGGACTAACCTACGTTAATAACGACCAAAGAAGTCGTCACCCCTCTCAAACACAAAATAATCATTCAATCGACGTGTTCACGAAGTGAAAAAGAAAATCGTAAAAGCTCAGAAATCCACAGGAACAAAGTACGATGTCGGAATAATGGCTTACCTAAAGCAGGGATGTACGCCGGCGGACACCGCAAGTAACCGTCAGGTCGGCGCACGCTTAGCGGGTCGAGGGCAAACTAGTTAATCAGAAAACAAATACCATGCGAACCCATTTTTTGTATTATCGTGGAAACTTGACGACGTAGCCATGGCTAAAAAATAGTTATTGAGATTTTCTAGGGTAAATACATAGCATTACAACAGCGCAATGGTTCTGAGCTTTTTATTGTTTCGCGGACCACTTTCCAGTCTTCATTGTTGTTACCATAACTCACAGTGATGAATATTTTGATAATATGCAAAAAATTATTAAGTAATTTTGATGCCCTGATATTTTGTCTCAATGTACGGACCATTCCCCATGCTCTTCTGAGGCATATCAAATGTGATGCAGAGTGAATCAGATAAAAAACAAATTTCTCGCAATGCTCTCTCTGAATGGTCACTCATAGAAGTAAAATACTTTTGAATGAAATGAAGGGGAAAATATATAAAATCCGCAAATACATTGAACTCGGAGTCAGGGAGTGGATGACGATTATTCATTCATGATTCACTTCCCAGTTGAACAGAGATATCTCTGAAGTTTGTAATTGGGATTCTGTGGAACAGAGTTACACGAAGAATAACTACCAAGGGCGAATTGATAATACTCTCGTTGAGGGTGTCCAACTCAACGGAAAGAAACTTAATTTTGTATATCCTCTAAAATATTAATTTAACAAATCTAATTTCATGAGCTGGGGAAGGTAATGTTATAAAGAAAGTTAAGTTTACGGGTTTTAATTGAAATGACAGTGTTTAGTTAATTATGAAGTTCGTTATTAATTAGGGTAAACGTTGCAGTTAGACACACAAAAATGTGCAGATAGTGAATTCAGGTATCTCATGTTCAGGTAATTAAAGATAATGTCGCAGTAAATTTTGCATTTGACTATATGTTTTAAATTTAATGCGAATAATTTAAAACGAGAAAGACTTGAAAATTTGGTAGTCGTGTTGTAAGGGTAAAAATTAAATAAATTAATATAAAAACACTATAACGATTTATTCTAAGTCGATTATCTTGGAACATCTGATTGAATTATTCTGTAGAGTATCGTAAACATAAACTCGAAGACGTTTCTCCTAAAAGGGGGTTTATACATTTATTTATTTACGTCAAAAACCGTTAAAAACTGTGTGTAAGGTGCTGTGGGAAGAAGTTAATTTGAAGTTACATTTATATCCAGAAACAAAACTAGGGGTCATCTCAGCATTTACTCGAGGATCAGGGTAACTGGACGAAAACCTGATCGAGATAGGTGTCAATGTATTCCATTCACTAAAAGCCCTGTGTAAAACGAGACAGACTAAATCCTCGTCTTTTTCGAGTGCGCATCAGTCGTGATTGGAAACGCGAATTCTTGGATGTTCGGGAATGGGAAGCCATGCAATCGAACGTGAAGTTTGGCACCGGATCTCACGATCCAGCGTCGGGCAACCAACGCCTCCTCCCAGAGTACAAAGCGTACTAAACTACATTAATAAGGACCAGAGCAGCCGGTACCCCCGGGAAACAAAAAGTAATCAGTCAATCAATGAATTCACGACGTGAAAAAGAGAACCGCTAAATCGGGAGTAGAGACAGTCCAAATCCTCGTCTTTTTCGAGTGCGCATCAGCCGTGATTGGAAACGCGAATTCTTGGAAGTTCGCAGCGAGTGTCAAGGTGTCACCTACATTCGAGTGCAGTGACCATGAAAGCGGCGGATGCTCAGGCGTCACGCCAGATGCTCATCTTTTTTTCCAGCGTCTCTGCGACCCCTTCTCTTTTCTCCAGGGGGCCCTGGAGTGAGAGGGAGTAGCGGGGAGGGGAGGGGAGGGGAGGGACGAAGAGGAGGAGCGTACGAGACGTTTCATGCGCCGAATTTCTCTTGGCCCAAATAAGCGGGTTGAACCGCGCAGGGGGCGGGGTTGCGTTCACACCCCATGCGCCGCTGGCCACGCTCCCAAGACTCCCGCCTCCTGTTCTCTGCACGACACACGCTCATCAAGGGGAGATAGACCGCCTCTTTAACCGGATACATTAGGGTTTGCGTTTCTATGGTTGCGGAGCTTTGTCACGATGCATAGCTGCTTCGAAGTCAACCTCAGCCTGGAGGAGAATTCTTTGGATCGTCTGCTCTCGGACCGGATAGCCTGGAGGAGAATTCTTGCGACATTATGCTCTGATTTGATTTTCGTTATTTCTCCGACCAGTAACAGGCGAATGCCGGAACAGTACTTTACAAGTGGCCATGTGATATTTCCTTTCTCATCTCCGATTCCATCCGCTCCCTTTACATTACTTCCACTTACTTGCACTACACTACCACTATCAGAAGAGCAAAGGGGAGCTTCGATTTCATGACGGTTGGGTCGGTGCTTGGCTGGGGGAAATACCCGGTGGAGAAAACCTCGCGTGCCGACGTGTGGGATGGCAACGGATCTAATGTTCCAGTGGAGGAGGAAATCCACACACCACGCGCCACACTTACGGGACAAATGGCCTAAGGAGCTGGTGCGTCCGGAATCAATCTTTATTAATTGACTGTTAAGTGTAGATGTGATGTCCAAAGAGGAGAAATTGCTAGCTCTGTTGCTGTGTTTATAGAACGATATTTTGTTTTTTCATAAATAAATAGTTAACGGCAAAGAATTAACGAAATATTTAAACGTTCAAACAAAACGTCTGTGATGAATGAGCAAATGAATATGATAGTAGGGTGGTAACGTAGTGGAATCTTTTAGCAGAATTAAATTATACTAACGTTCAAGAGACCATCCCTTTTCACTAATTGTATGAATGCTCATTTGTAATTGTTAAACGTTTGTCAAATCTGTGACATTGCCGATGTCGCTTTTTAAATACTTCTAATTAATTTATAATTAATGCAAAATATTTGGTTTTGCACTCTAATTAATTGCCGAAACGCGGAAAAACTATTTTAGGTGTGTAAGAAGAAAGGTAAAGATCCTTCTATGCAATTACACCCACGCCGATGTGACCCAATGGAGAGATGAAGATAGGGCTCCACCTATTCGTCACAAGGAAAAGGTCGTGAGGCGTGCACAACGCAACGCAACGCAGCCGTGTAATGTAGTTTATTTTACAGTAATTTGTGAAACGAATTTTTAACGTCTTATTTCAACTGCATATTTTATCTTGCCTTCTAAAATTTATTAAACTTTGTTTACGCCAGCCAAGTAGAAAACACCTTTAGAGTTTAAAAATTTGCTTTACTTGATGGTTATGTCATGAACACAAAATTAAGTATGATAAGATTGTTTTATTTCATATCTAATAATTTCATGCGTAAATATAAGTATTATATGAATGAAAGTGATGTCTATATTTTAACTGGTTTGTAGGATCACGCGTGTGTTCAACGTAAAATGTTTACTTTTATTCCGTCAAATGTATTTTTAGAAAAAATTAACGTGATTAATTACTATATATATTGAAAAAGATGAACTCGCTGAAATGTATCAGACAAAAAATAGTAAAAAAAATATTCAGTGCACTTTGAAGACATTTAAAAACATGTAACCTATAATTATTTATTACATCATTCAATGACTTTAGTTATTATTAAAACTAGTGTATAAAGAAGGATATAATTGTAGGACGGACATGTTCAAGAAACATGAGCAACGAAAGCGTGTTTTCTTATTTATTACGAGTGCAATTACACTCAGTTATCCATGTTTACGCTCCTATTCTCCCATTTACGCTCACTATATTTCGTTTCCATATCTTTACCATTCGACGCTTACTTTCGATGACGTCACATTCGTTCTGTACGTGGAGAGAGTTCTAAACTTGAGCCATTTTAGTAGGCCTTGCTTTGTGCATTTGATATCACCATAGTGATTGAGATGATCACAAAACGGTTTTAAAAAGGAAGTGATTAATAATATTCCAAATCTAATATTAGAAGAATCTAAGAAAACAGTGCCAGCATTACTTCGTAGCTAAAATGAATAGCACCAATGAAATATAAAATTTGTATAAATTTTGGGAAATGGAAAGCGAGTCGCTTTTGATTCAGGGGAAGTTGTGGTTGCCTACTTTTTAGAATGTTTAAATGCAACTGACGTTTATAGATTTTCCTATTTATAATATGCTTATAATTTTAATTATACATTTAATTTATTTGTTTTAAATATTTTATTATCCTGTTAGTCAGCTTACGTGCTTATGGTCACACTTATCCACTCTGAAGGAAACATAGATGTTTAAGACAATACTGATATTTTACATTAAGCAGCCATACTCTCCAATTTAAGTACTTGTACTGCTTTAAATATTAATGTCCCTATGCAGAACTAGTATATGAGTATATACTCACAAATGTTTCAGATCGCTGCTCTTCGTAATCTGTAGTGTGCATTTTTTGTTTGTGTCCTTAGTGATTTAATTATAGGATTTGTACTCATTTCCTAAATTCTAGTCGGTAATTGTGTAGTTTTTAGCACGCGTGCAATTAATATTTCAACGATTTTCGCGGAATTCGCGATTTTTACTAAATAATTATAATATTATTATTATTAATAGATTTTTAATTATGTGACGTAACTATAAACGTTTGAGACATCGGTTCCTTGGTGCCAACAAAAACATTTTGCAGCAAAAGCCTCAACTAGTAGTTCCAGCAAAGGGACAGAAGACACAGATTGAACTGTTCGTGAAACTTTTTGGATAGTGGAGGTGTCCCTTCCACATTCGTCCTTAGGTTGCCACTCATTCATTCATTCAGTCAGTCAGTCATTCAGTCATTCAGTCATTCATTCTTTACGCCCTGAGAAGTGCACAAATATTGAAAATGTTCCTCAGTGTCGGCCACTTCCCAAACATACCAGGTCTCTTAGATGTTTTATGTTCACTTTTTTAGTGCTTGGTAAACGACAAGAAGGGTTGTATTGCAACCCTTCGTTTTGAATTTGGATAAACTAAAGCGAGCGCAGACATCCGCGTCCAAACTTAAAGGATTACTCGTTGCTGACGGTATCCACCCTTTGGTAGTTGATGCAATTTTAAATGGTGTCAATGTACCGACTGGGGTTCGATAGCCTTATGTGGACCGATAACATATGGTATTGATCTGTGCAATCAAGATTTAGTTAATTAAAAAAATAAAAGAAGTTGTCAATTAAGTTCAAAGATCTTATAATAAATAACAAATTCCCTTCCCTTCTAGAATTTCATAATAAAAATAAAACTTATTCAATAAAAAAATGTGATTTTGTTTCTGAAAAATAGTTTATATTTTAAATATGTTTGTTGATTTAAAGTGTTATCATTAAGTCGTTTATGTTCAGACTGTACATTATCGAAAAAAATGAAGGGGATGGGTAAAGCAAACCAATATTTAATAAAAGGAGCCGTTTCAAGAAAAGGTTAGGAATCCCTGCTCTTGAATGTAACACCGTAGAACTAGACAAAAACGTGTACCCTGCATACAATAAAATGTGTTGTTCGCTAGCAAAGCGCAGGCCTTACCTTCAGGCCGAGGCAGGCGAGTGTGTCCCGCTTGACGCAGCTGTCGTACAGTCTGTCGGAGAGCGCTCGCAGCATGCGGTCGCCAGCTGACAGCGCTCGGCCGCTCTCCTCCCCGCCGT